TTTGAAAAGTGTCCGATTTGGTTTGAAAAGTGTCCGATTTGGTTTGAAAAGTGTCCGATTTGGTTTGAAAAGTGTCCGATTTGGTTTGAAAAGTGTCCGATTTGATTTGAAAAGTGTCCGATTTGATTTGAAAAGTGTCCGATTTGGTTTGAAAAGTGTCCGATTTGATTTGAAAAGTGTCCGATTTGGTTTGAAAAGTGTCCGATTTAAAGTGAAAATGGTATATATAGTAGGATGGTTCCCTGCATTTCCACAACAGGGATGTGAAGAAGACAACAGTAGTTGCCATCTAGGGCACCGCTACTACAAATGTGATCCCACTCCTTCTTTCAGAGTGTTGTGCCGGTCAGCCCATATCGGCAGTTACAGGGCTGAAGTTTGCTTGTTTGTGAATTGATTCTCCTAAATGATAACTGCGCTCGTCGCCGAGTAGTGGTGTGAAAGCTATCACAAAGCTATTGATGATTTGCGGGCAAGACACTCTTGGTTTGCTGTGAATTTCAGAGTATTGTTCAGCCGTCTTTAAAGTGCATCAACTCCGAATCTAAAATGAATTCTGAAGAATTTGTGCCGTGCCCGCTTGTGTCTCCTATCAGTTAGACAATGGAGGGGGGGGGGCGGAAGGGGCAGTTTGCAGTTTTGCTACTTCAGATCGACCTGTCGACCTATTAGAGGGTCATTTGTGAGCTTACAAGGGCTGACAAGTTTCACCATGGTGGCTCAATGAGCTTGCTCCAGCTTCACAAGAGTCTTCCAAAGCGGAACCTGCGAAGCAGCGAAAATGCAAAATACCCCACCCCACCCGCGTCGCCGAACTGCGTCAATTAGAGTCTGTTGAACCATCACAATTCAGCAGTCCGTAATGCATTGTATAACTAGTAGCAAATCCAACGCCATCAGTATCCTCTAGCTCCGGAGTTATGAAAACGCGGACTGCTCCAAAGCTTCAAGCCCCACGAAATGTTATTTTCATAGTAGGAATGGAACTGAAATTAGCACATGAAAGGAAAACAAATACATCACGCGCCAAGAAATTGAAAAGGAATATCGGGACTCGCGGTGATGAACAAATTGGGTAAACGCCGCTTGCTGACCTTGATACGTGAGTGCTCGAGAGGTCGCGAATCTATTGAAATGCGTGTCTATCGCTCGGTCCCCCCTCCACCAAGTTACAGCGAAAAAATTGATTGTGTACCAAATTTAGGGTGCTATCTGCCGCAGTTAGCTGGGCCGATTATTTCAGCTGCAAAGCTCTAAATCCAGCACGGTAGACGAGAACTCATGAAGCTTCCCATAGCAGATTCCCGTTGTGTACAAGCAAAAGGATATCGTCTTTGTAGCAATTCATTTGAGTTATAACTTAAAAAGAAACCAACTCTCTGAAGCATCGTCGCTTTGAAGTTGATCAGTAGCAAAATAACAAATAATACAGGATATTACAATCACAAAATAGGCAACGGAACCAACACTGAGTAGTTAGTTCATAAAAGGTAAGGTAGATCCAGTTCCAGGTATCTAATTAAAATATCAGCAGAAACTCATGATTTATGGCAATTCAAATCAGCCTTTCAAGACGAATGCAGACCAGGCCTCTTCTCGATATCTGGTGAGCTCTTGGATGGGATTGGCATTCGATGTCACTCCTCGCCCAACTATTACGATGTCGTTTTGTTGACGGGTAATGGCCTGAACTGTGAATTTAGTACACGGTTCTCCATCAGCCTAATTTTCATCATTCAAATCATTAAATCATCATTCAAATTAAGGTACCATCACATTACGCTTTATCTTGTAATTGCCTCTAAGGTCATTACGCCGGCGCAAGAATAGCGTGAGACACCGCTTCTTTTAGGCTGCGTTCATACTTTGCGGCAGCGTACGCAAACGTTTCCAGCGTTCGCCTGCGGCAGTAACAAGGCAAGGATCGATCTAGCGTGTGGCAGCGGCACCAGAGTGCGCTAGTGTAACGCTAGAATACTCTAGCATGACACTAGCGCACGCTAGCGTAACGAGGCAAGGAAGGTATAGGTATCGATCTGGCGTTTTTAGCCTTTCACTATCGTTTGCAGCGTTTCACTAGCGTTCGCAGCGGCGGGGAGTAGAGACTATGGGAGAGTAGGAGAGTAGAAAACAGCTCCACTAAGCGTGCTGTGAAATTGCGGCGTGTGTAGCCGCAGCGCACCACTGATACCGTACACTAAATTGGTTAAATTGCATAATGCAATGGTCGAATTGCATGACGCATCAATGCAAAGCATGGACCGATGATTACCATCAGGGTACAGGTATCCCTGATTACCATTATCGTTACGATGAGCGTGGAACCATTTAGGATCCTTCATAAGAATGAGCATGTATTTGTCAGCCGTATACTCACCAGGAGGCGGAGGTGGTGTAGTGACAAGTGGCGCGCTTACCACTCGCGCGGCGCCGCGTTCGAATCCCGGTCGACACCCGCCCAGGCCAACCAAGCCTTCTACCCTGTGAGGACGGTAAATTGGTACCAGATTCGTCTGGGAGGATAAAACACTGACTTGTACATCGGCTGGCCCCCGCAAGTAATTGTATAGGCCACATCGCATTCAATAAGCCACTACGATTCTGAATGGAAGTAGAATGCGTGCCGCATCCCACAAAGGGATTAATTAACGGCGAAGACTTTACCCTTTACCCTTTTATACTCATCAGAGACCGTTTCCCAGAACAATCTCCTACAGATGAGTTCTAGAAAAGGATATGGTACCTGCAAAAGCCAGCGTTTTCATATCCCGGTGCGACAATGTAAAAAAAAACATTCCGTTCCAACAGTTGAACCTCACAATTATGCAATTCAACTAATTTAGTGTATGGTAGTAGAAACGGTGCGGCTGCACACCCCGCAGTTACGCCACGCCCAATCGACCTGTTTTTACTCTCTCGCTCCCCCATAGTCTCTACTCCCCACCGCTGCAAACGGGTCTCAGGATATCTGTCAACCGCAGAGCCTTCCTCTTCCTTCGTCTTTCCTTCTTTTTCTTCCTTTCTTTTCCATCCTCCTTCCTTGCCTTCGTTCCTCTGAATGCCCGAACAGAAGACGCGATGAGAAAACATTTCTGGACCATCACAGCGAGAGCATCCGGTGGACAGATGTCTTGTAATCCTGCAAACGCTAGTGAAACGCTACAAACGCTAGCCTAGGCTGGATCAATATCCATCCTTTCCTTGCCACTGCCGCTGCCGAACGCTGGAAACGTTAGCGTACGCTGCCGTAAGGTATGAACGCAGCCTTACTCCATACCGTGAAGTGTATCATTGCCAGCTGCCATTCATACTACGGGACTTAACAGAGGTACGGCAAAGCAAGGAAGGTGACTATACACGAACAAGATGGTTCGGTGCACAGCTTAGAACTGTGAGATTACCTCCACTCGACAAGCTAGATAGTCCGCCGGTTCCTTATTTCCCCTCTCGTCATTTGATAAGAGATACGCAGGCCATGGTCACGCCATACTGCCAAATGTGTGGCTATAAGGTATGGCGTGACCATCATGTGTGATGACCGTGACGTTTTGAATAGCGGGCGGAAAAGTGGGGAGCATCAAGCTAACAAGTTTTTAGCTTCACCGCCATGCGTTTTGAAATTGCAGCTGTACCATCATTTTACGGCTTCAGACTTACACCAAAGAATACTCATAAGTGTAGTTCGCCGCGGACAGTTCGGCGTGTTAGGCGGGATGAGTTTGGCGCGGTGCCGAACCCATTCTCCACCAGTTGTTAAAGCGAGCAAGTGATAAGACCGTATCATGTGGTTCGTATTACACTCGCTTTCTACTTTTCGTCGCATGCGCCTGGCACACCCAACTGTCTGAACTAGAGTGTACCTCCAGGATGACTAGGCGCGACTGCGTACTTCATTTGAACGGTGGATGGGTCATTCGTGAGATCTTTCAGTTCGGTACAGCTCCCATCTTGCCTTGTTTTAAAGATCAAAATATGCCTGTTGAAAGCGACGCTGCCGCCACGTTTGAATGAACTACGTGGGAAAGCGTACCGCATTTTCAGGACCACTAGAGCGCAGCCTCCCGCTCAAGTTACCCACACTGGGTTTTCGAAGCTCCCTGAGACCACTGGCTTACTGTCAAAACCACCAACCTTGTATGTGAAGCCCCCCTCGCTCGCTCCATGTGATGGCATGCACAACACGCGAAAAAAAAGCAGGCAGCTCCGTTCAGAGAACCGCCCAAAAATTTCGAAGCAAATCGAGCTCGGGTCTCTGCTCCGTACTTCGACCACATCATATCAAATGGCTGCGGGAACCTAGTGATCTTCCCTTGTCAATTACGAAGCAAGGTACAAATTATACAGAGCATATACCTCGTCAACGCCTCTCCATTGTTGTCCTTTGTTGTCAGAAGTCGCGTTTAGATTCACACCTATCAAAGCGAATATTTCAACGAAATTTTGTATGAGAAACAATGACAAGAATGCAACATGAGTAAATGTGAGTTTCCAGAGACCTAGCTAATAAATTAATTTTTTGCATCGGACTTTTCTCAAAACAAACCGGACTTTTTTTGAATCCAGTCGGACACCTTCCGTTGAGCTGGACACTTACTCATTCGGTTGTTCACATCTGACAGTTTGGTGTATAAGCACGATCTGGCAATCGATTCGAAAGAAGGAAAAGGGAACAAGGTTAACAAGGTTGAGAGTGAAGGCATCTCACAGGCGGTAAGCTTTGAGGGTCACTGTGATGCACGCGAAAATATACGCCAGTCAAGCTGTAAGGTAATACCTAACTATTCTAGGTCTCTCGAATCTTGGCCGCCACTCGGCGTAAACTAGAAAAGATACTAGAAACTATACGAAAAAAAAACTATAAAAGCCCACAGTACGCGGAGATATTCGATGCTCCCTAGAAAGGTGAAAACTTCAACGCTCATTCTGTCCTTAGAGTGTACTCGTCGCCTGTACTGCACACACAGTATCAATTCCTCCAACCATAAGGAGCGATCGATCGCGAACGCCATACGGGCACCCAACTCTCAGATAAATGGTGTCCAGCTTGATTTGAAAAGTGTCCGTAAAAATTTAAGATCACGGTTTACAGCCAGTATCAAACGTCTTCGGAAAAGCGGGTTCCTACGTTAATAGTATCACGAAGAGGATACAGGGAATAAGGATGCGTGCAAACTAGAAGCTTGAGCCTACTCGAAAATCAAGCGTTCATACCGAAAAGGATCTCCTTTCCGTGTGTAGTGTTCGGAGGAGTTCACTAATGACAGTTCTGCCAAGATATAATTGGATTAAAACGGGTTCTTCTACTGTTCCAAATAGTAGTGCAACGAAAGGAGGATAAGGGCGATAAGGAATGCGTGCAAACTAGAAGCTTGAGCCTACTCGAAAATACAATGGGTGTCTTCCGAATAGGAATCTCTCTTTCCCGTGTGTCAGTGTTCGGTAGGAGTTCACTATGACAGTTACTGCCAAGACAACACCATCGTCAGAAGTGTACGGCACAGAGCAACGGAGCCTCGCAGTGAAAGTCGCACACAATCACTCACAATGGAAGCAGTTCCTCTTCATAACAAAGCACGCCCGCACCCGCCACTAGCAATGGTTTAACGTTCCGACTGGATCGTCGTTTTCGGAGGCCAACGGTAGCACGTGCTCGGGGTACTGCAACACGAAAGCATCAGTTAGCTGTAAATGACAACTTGCTGTACTGAAGACGACGATTCGTCGCAACGTCAGGCCGTTGTAATAAATGTCCCACCAAATGAGCTCGTAAGGCAATGGAAGCAAGTGAAACAGTGGTGAACTATGAGTGAAACACTTAGAGTTTCCAGATTTTTGGTAAAATCAACATTTACTTATGTTGCTACTTACAAAACTGAAGGATTCCCTCAAGTGAAGCACTAGAGCAAGTTCAAGTACCTGGAGTCCAATGAAGCATATCAGGATGCGGTGAAACGCGGGCCTGACATATGAAACCACACACGACATCTCGATTGGCCGCACCCATTACCGCAGCCGCTAATGACATTTGTAATGTAAAGTGAAGGCAAAAAGGTCTGCTGCAGTAACCCACCTTCCGTGTATCCAGGAAGAGCTGTGAGCGATCCCTTTGTGCTCAACTGAGCGATAAGCAGTACGCCGCTTAAGCGATAGGCAGGATCCAGTATAACCTAAGAGCGGAGAGTAGTCCAATGATGATAAACGAATGTCGACAGCCAAACACCTTTGCTGTTTTCCAATCCCACAGACTGATTTAGAAATACTTCCAGGTGATTTAGAAATACTTCCAAGCTTGGATGTAAGAGTGAATTATAAAATTTGTGAGAATTGTACCTGCACACCCAGGTTTCTCTCTGCCCTCCACATCGAACTCTTGGGTGAGCAAGGCAGGACTGCGCAATGTGGAGTGGACTCAGAAGGATTCGAGCTAAAGCGCGAGTGGAGTGCTTTTTCAGGGAATATTTCACGTCGAGTAACGGCGGAAACACCAGTAACTGATCACCTCCATCGAAAGAGAAAGTCGGCACACTAAAACAGAACTGGTCTGTCACTGTATTGTATCTCTCAAGCAAAGCAGCCGTAAAGAAGTCGAAAAACTAATACGAGAACATCTACGGTCATTACACGCGTTCTCACACACGGATACATTTTTAAAGCTCACTGCGCCAATGTTAACAGAGAATTTCAGCAAAAGGATCTTGTTTTTTTTCTCGTCTCAGACGATTTATGACAGATCCAGCAACGCTCCTTCTTCTTAGCAACCCCCATTCCCTTCCAGCACATTCAGACTGCTGCTGTTAATTGAAAATTTGGAAACTTAGTTCAATGCCTACTGAGACTTGAGTTATGTTTATAGTATACAGGGGGGGGGGGCAAAAAAAGTCATTCCGGCCGAGTCACATATGAGCGAAGTTTTCGCAGCCATACAGAGGAAGTGGATATGAGTGCCAGGGCGGAAGATACCCAAGATCTTCCTCTATAAAGAGGAGCCGGCAATCACCCATGGATAGCTACCTTTAGACCAGTACTCTTGATCTGCAAGATTCAAACATCGAGCAGTTCCGGCAACGTCGCTGCGGTCCAGACATCATCTTCACCCCATTCACCAAGGCCCGGGTTGATGGTGTGGACCGCCGTACCTGGAATGGATGAACCCGATATTTTCTTCGTGGGCCCCAGACTGAGGGTGTGCGCTGGTGGCACAATAACGATTATTCAGTAGGGCGCAAGTGGCTCACAAAAGAATTTAGGCGTGAAGTTGAATGCGATAGTCGGATGCGGACTCACACATATTGGACGCGCTTCACCTAAAAAAAGCGGTCGCAGCCAATTTTGCCGACATGTGCCTTGGCTGCTGTAACGGAAGCGCGAACTATTCCAGGGTATAATGCACAGTAGGGAGTCGAACTAATATTATTGAGTAAAATCGAACTTTTTCGGTCAACCCTGGAATTCTGGTCAACTTGAGAGGAAGGGGGGCAGTTCTCGTTCTGCTCAGGAACTAAGGTTCCGATGATTTTTCCTATGCTATATCAAATCATATTCCACTGGGTAATCAGGAGCATCAGTCGTCCCTGTAACCAGAAGTTCAACATGCGGCTCGCATTTGAAAAAAATCAAGGCTCAATTTGTGCCTGAAATGCCAAAAATTGTCACGGCTAACCAAATCACTAACACATCGGCACTATCCAACACTATTACTGCCCTAAATAAGTCAAAAAAATTTTTTTCGTGAAAAGCTCGCCCACAGAGGTAGTTCGGTGCCTTGATCACGAATATAGCACTCGTTTGAGCGGTGGCGCGACTCGGCGCCAGTTTGACGTCCGCCACCTTTCTCACCAAATCCGGTGTAAATTTGCATAATAGGTTTATTTTATGTCCTGATCACGAATACCGAATTATTTGCCATTATTTGAACAATGCAGTTCTCAGCCCTGACGACACTTGGTGCCATTAGGCGCTGATTTAGCGTTCGCACCCTTTTCATCAAAATTGATAAAAAGGCGCATAATGGCGTTGTTTGATGCCCTGATCACGAATATGCCATTTATTCTCCGACGCCAGCGCCATTCTTCTGCTAAGGCTGAAGCCTGGGGGAGGGTGATTTCTTTTGGTCAGGCCAGCATACCAGAGCGCAAATAATCGCAGAGTCTTCCATCAGCGTCAGCGCCAAGAGTGAATGTGATATCTGTGATCAGGATGTTTAAATGACAAGGTTTCAGCGGATTTAGTGACCTAGGGTAAACTTGGCGCCGACGCAAAAAATACCCTAGGTCTGGCCAAGTGGATGTGATGTTCGTGTTCAAGAGGTCTAATTACTTCTAGAACCCAATTTTTAGCCATATCTGCCCTCGTAGAAAAAAAACTGTTATTAGGACGCGGCCTGTTTTCGCGAAAATTTGGTTTTTTTTTCAGATAGAGCGCGTCCGCTATGGTGTGAGTCCGCAGCCGACTATCGCAATGCATTCAAACCTCACGCCTAAATCTTTTGTGAGCCACTTGCGCCCTACTGAATAATCGTTATTGGTCGCTGGACAATGGTGGCTACATCGAGCAACTCGAGGAGAATATCCCACCTTCATGTCGTCGCCCGTAACCTTCTTGGAAATTTTGTACTGCTACAGGATTGGGTGACAACACAGTTAATCGAAGGGCCTTGAAAAACTTTCGCCTACTTGGAATGGAAGGAACGTTGAGTACCTGGAAAAAATGGAATATGGGCGCGTCCTGAAGAGGATGCAATATTGAAGTCCTGGTCGGGCGGAGTTCAATAGGGTGGTCTACGGTGGCGGAGAAACCAACGATCTCGCTCAACTCCGGTACCCACTCACTTTCGCGCGGCCGAATCTCTCGATGGCGCTCCTCCAGAAGGCTGTATCGGAGTATCATTATAGTATTTAATGTGCTCTTTAATATGGTAGTAAAAATGTCCGATAAAAATTTAATAAAGTGTAACTTATAGCGCCTTGAAAGTCATGGAGGCAAAATGACTTTTTTTTGCCCCCCCTGTACCATTTCAACCTTTACGTACCTGACGAAAGACTGGTCCAATCGAGTCGCTACCTTGGACTGCGTGAACGGTAACCACATCAGCCCATTCAGCAACACGAAGAGCTCCTTTCAGTTGCAACAGATTCGTATTCCCTGTATCACCAAACTTCCTGATGAGGCAGTCTATTAGCTGAGTCCCGTGCTGAGCGAAGCAAAAGTAAGCACCCCACGCACCTGTCCTCGAAGATAACGAAGTCGTGGTCATTTGCCAGTCGTACCAACCGTGTCGTAAACTCCTTTGAGAAGTCCACAATGGCATCAGCATGGACTTTAATGGCAATGACGAATGGACCGGCCTTCTCGGCTAGCTTGAAATACACAACATTTGCAGTGGTCAACTCAGCCCTTCATCCCACTTAGCCTACTTGAAGGATTTTCTCCGCTTCGGTATAGTCAGCGGCCAGACACAGATTTGAGTTTTTTCTGATCATCATATCGAATAATTTCTTGTTCAGCGAAGACACGACCTCTTTTGCACGTTCCTCTATTGGAAGACGACCCTAAAGATTATACAGAACAAGATTACGGTAGAATGTGATATCCACTTACCAGATTAGACATAGGAAAAGCATCCAAGTTCTCCATGTGGGGGGAAATTTGAAGATGTTTCACTTCTTTGTAGGAGAGGTTTAGTGCCTAAAGCTTATTTGAGAGCAATCTACACTTATTTTTACAACATGATTACCTCAATAATCTCCAGCAATGTCTCCTCAGTGATAGCATCTACCGAAAGCAAAAAGCAGAGAATAGTTTCCATATTGAAAAGGCTGCAAGTATCACTAAATTAGCGTATGGCTGTTGTTCTCAAACTGAGGCCTGATTGATATAAGTCGCTTCCTCACTCAGTCAGGCTCCCTCAACATTAAGATTATCAAGATTGAGATTAGTTACACTGTCCCTTCCGATTCCCCGGAGAGCACTATATTCATGTCACAAACATCTAATATATGTTCCCACAGGAATAGGACCAGAAACATGATACAGCCTTTGTGGACTATGCTTTGACCCCTTTTGCCTAAATCCCGCGATCCTTTCGAAGCGGAAGGTCACAAGCAGCCATATATCAAAAAAAACTTATCAGCAAGAGCCAGAATACCTGTAAAGAGAAATTCCGTCTTCTTTGAGATTGTCAGATCCACCCTGCTCCCTATCGAGAAGGCAGAACACTGTCTCAACTATAAGACCATCTGCACGTAATGCTGTCACTACCTTAAATAAAAGCAATATATTTTATTAATAAGGATCTGATCACTAAACCCACATCTCGGATACTTCCACCGGTAGTAACTACATCCTCAATAATGGCCACTCGATCACCTTTTTGATAGATGCCTTCGACCATCTTCTTAGTGCCATAATTCTTTGACTCCTTGCGAACGATGAGGAGCGGTTTCTTAGATCGTTGGGACACCAACTGAAAACGGAAAATGATGTACAATGAAAAGTTGGTCGTATGACGGGAGAAATGTTAGAAACGTAACAACTCACAGTCGCATACGGTAAAGCCGCATATGGCACTCCAACGATTCCATCGAAAGAAATGCCCGCTTCGTCTATCAGGGATTTGAGACCATCTGATGCGAGGTCCTAGATTTCCAAAATTAGTAGTGCTAACTGGCGCGCGTTGACGCGACTCGTGTGAACTGGAGTTCTATATCAATGGATACCACTTTCTGTTCACAAGGAAAGTCTTGAGTCTGCAATCAAGTGACCTACCATAACATCAGGGTATCCAAAACACTCGCGTAAGTCTATATAAATTGGCGATTTCAATCCACTTTTGAGTACAAATTCACCAAATTTGAACACCTGAATTGAGTTTTGGAAGGGAATATTTCTGGAATAGCCGATTACCTTGCACATACCTTCGAATGCAACATGGATCGAAGCAAGTTGCGCTGGCGAGCGCCATTCAAGGACTCCTCCACTAGCAAATTCATTTCAAGATAGTCTATGAAGGAATTTAACTGGATGTCGCGAAAGCATAAGCATTCTGACACAAGCTCTGCGGAACTTCTTTCCCCAGAACAATGCTGTGAAGCAACAGACGGCTAACTTTTACATAATGGTTATTGATTGGTAGAGGTTTATACTGGACTACGCAACAAAACAAAAAAATTTCACATCAATCCAGTAAGAGTTTAGCAGCTTTCAGAAGATCTAATGTAGACCATAGACCCTTTTGGCATTTGTCGTGGTAACCTCAGCGACCTAAAAAATACCATCCTCAGAAGAACAATACCACTGCAAAGAAAGAACTAGAAACAAAAAAGGCTGCATTCCACTCAATGACCAATGTAACCATGATGCCTGGAAATTGTACGCCTTAACAGAGAAGATTCGAAGGTAACCGTTGAGGCTCAATACAATCTACCTCTTTCGGATCTTTTCCCATGAAAGCGGCAATCATCTCGCAGATGGCAGCTAGTGCGCATGGTTCATTACGGTTGAAAGTAGTGAACTAAAAGCATTATTGAGGCAATAGTGTGGAAAAAAAGCAGTTTTCGTACCGATTAAGTACCAAGAGAAGGATAACGATTAAGTACCAAGAGAAGGATAAAAAGACCCCCACATCTTTACATCATCACAATATGAATTACTTTGTGCAGTTGCTTTGCTGACTCAGTAAAGGCCTCCTTCACATCTGCTGGCAGTTTTTTGTCGGTAATCTTCGGATACATAAATGGCGCATCAGTTTCAATAAGAAGTCGATCAAGAGGAATGGAACCGTTGCGAAGGGCCATTTGCACACCATTTGTCAGCCGATCTTTCCATAGAAACCCTGAGGAACTTCGAAATCGAGTATCACCGTCTTTCATCATCGCCATTGAAAACAGAGATAAAAACACACCCGTCAATCCAATATACAAACCCATTTCGACATATTTCTTCGCTTCGTCTTCAGTCCCGGTGAAACAGTGAATAACAGCCGGCGGCAACCTGAACAAGAGAAACAACTGCATAGCAGAAAGAAGAGAACAAAAATGAAGTTAGCTCTTGAGCCATTGCATGCGTAATAACCTTGCTCCAGCATCGCTTAGTATTCGAACCATGTCCTCATGGGCTTCACGTTCATGGATGAATAAAGCTTTTTGTAATTCACAAGCCATTTCCACCAAAGAATAGCAAAGTTGTATTCATTATCTCGTGTCAAGAAGGAAAATAGCGCACCTGCATCAACACCCTCACCTGCATTGCAAAAACGTCCTTTTGAATGTCTTGAGGTGAAAAGTTCCTATTGAAGTCCAGTCCACATTCCCCCACAGCAACGCACTGAGGATGTGCCTTTAATTGGTTTGAGTTGATGAGAAGAGATCGGAAAGGTGAAGGTATATACTCACCTGAAGAATCCTCAAATTGTCAAGGGTCTTATTATCAAAGTCTTTTGCATCATGTGGATGTACCCCTGGAAAAATAAAGGAAGGACAGCTCAAGCTGTAACATTCATAATGTTTACCTGCGGTAAAATAGAGGAACCCAGGCATTCTTTCAGCTAACTTCATACTTTCCTGACTGATTTTTTCGCACGTCCCAGTTACCATTAGCTTCGATATTCCTGTGTGTTCCCAATAAGAACAGTTTAATCAACAAATGTGATTACATTTTTGTCCATGGGTTACAAGGTCATACTTCCTCTAATGTCGGACTGATGAATGTGTTCATCTCTTACCACTCGATATTCCTGTGTTGCCAAAACGAGAACAGTTTAATCAACAAATGAGGTTACATTTCTGTGGTTGCAAGGTCATACTTCCTCTAGTGTCGGATAGATGTATGGTTCATCTCTTGCCACTCTCACCATAGCTACTTCCTAGCAATCCACCATAGGCAACTACAACACCGTCTGATCAATTTGAGATGTGCTTCTCAAAACATTAGATCCGATTCATAAAACCACTCGGTCCTGGGAGAAAACATCTCAGCCGCTATGGTGGACTAAGAAATCTTACAGAAATAATGTGGTCAGTTCTTGCGGCATCACGTGTGCGTGACGTGTACATGATACTCTTTCACCACACTAGCTATCACCACCCACCCTTCATTTGCAGGCTACAACAATGCAAAACCATGTCACAGTGGTGATTGCGCGGCATTGTGGCCTTCTTCAGGTCCCAGCCCCCGTCCTTCTGGGACGATGGAATCGACAAGCTGCCTGAGCGGGCGTCGAGTAGTGGATGGTGATGGTGTATACCTCTAATCTTCAGGCTGGTTCGCTATTGAGATACTTACAAAAAAGTCGGGGGAAAGAACTTATGCAACAGATTGGTTTAAGCAGTTTCCAGCTGCAAGTAAAATTCGGATCTGGGTAACTTTGAAGCGAACCTGATTGCTTCGCACGAAATAGGACATCATCGAGATCATTTTGAAAAAGAGGATGTCCAAGGTTTGCCCCAATATCCACGAGTTCGTATGGTACAAGTTTTTCTACGGCCTCCGCAGACATTTCTGCCGTGAAGTGACGAACAATGGAGTACGAAATAAGGCGAAGAAAACGAGTGATCTAAATGTCCCACCACTGAATTACAAGAAAAAAAAACCAAGCGACACATGAAAGGATTATCATGATCATAAAGAAGTGACATTTCAATGCCAACATGCGTACGAATAGGCCTGTGCTTGAATAAGGCCGCACCGAGAATCCAGCGGTATAAACGATCAGGCTATGAAAAAGAAGAACATGTTCTATAGTTGACATCTTTACTCTTGATGAAACACAAGAACTTTCTATAATACATTAACACCATATTTGTTCTAATTACGCTGACAGGAAAGGGTCCTGCATTATTCCCAGCCAAGATTCTTCCTCACTATCGGATCATCTAGAGATTTGAGCTCTTCTTGCTTCTGTTTCAAGAGAATGTCAGGGATGTATCGATAGTCCTCGTCTGCTTTCTCATGTTGCTTGAAAGTGACCTGTAAAACTGATGTTTGCTGCAAACATGAAACTAGCGTGAATTATTCGGATTGTTCCTAAAAAAGCGAGAAATCGTGTATAATGTTTTAACTAATATACGAAAGTCGCATTTCAGCTTTGGTCACGCAAACGACAGCCTGCCCTGCATATGCAGATCAATCGAAAAGCCTCTACGATTGGTTAGAAGATCGCTCCTATTGTTAGCTATTCGAGACATCTATAGCGCTATTCATTCGGAGACAAACCTCTCGATTACAGGGGGGGGGGCAAAAAAAAAGACTTTTTTCTTATTTGACTTTCGAGGTCAAATGTCAGTGTCAATGTCAATGTCAATGTCAATGTCAATGTCAGGTCGATAAGCATCAGCACTTCAGACATCTCCTCCTTTTCGCATTCAACAGAGGTATCAGATCTGCTGATGCTGCTCGGGAAATTCGCGAAGTGTGCGGAGAAGATGCCCTCTCTCTCAAAACAGCCCAAAATTGGTTCGGACGTTTCAAGAATGGTCTAATACCTCTGTTGGGTGCGAAAAGGAGGAAATGTCTGAAGTGCTGATGCTTATCGACCTGACATTCCATATTATCCACCTGAAAAACAAGGTTCATCAAACGGATTTTTAAAATAACTGCAACGCAGTGTTATAGAGCACGAAACTGGCTATCAGAACATATAGAACACATTAGCGAAACATTCAAATGCTAGCATAAAATTCGTGGAGAACGCGAACGCTAGTTCTCAACGACTTCGCGTTCCGTAATGATAAACTGAACTTAACAGAAAGCATGATAACCTGAACTTAACAGAAAGCAAACACCCCTGGAGAACAGATTCCTATAGCACTGTTATAGAGCACGAAATTTGCTATCAGAACATGCAAAACATATCAGCGAAACATTCAAATATTAGACATAAAATTTCAGGTGGAACAGACGTGAGCTGCCCACTATCGGCGAGGTGAAGGTTGGTAACTTCAAAATTCTTGATATTCGTTCCAGAGCGTCCTAGCTCGACCTTTTCCAAATGTATAATGTATGGAGCAGCTTAAGCGATTTTAGCACTTCGACTATACGTAAATAGAGACAGTTGTCGAAGGTGCTAATTTTCGCCGACTTCGCTTTCAACTTCAACGACTAAAAAATTAACAAAAATTATTCCCTCAACCGAAGCCGTTTTGATATTCTAAAACTACGTGAACTCCCTATCAGATGATATCAAGCTTGCTAGCAAAACATTTCATCTTTGGGACGAAATTTCCGGTTGAAAAAAACGAAAGTACTTATGTGCCAACCCAATAGAACACTCCAGAGATAAATGTTTTTGTTGGTCTTACGGACCTTCATCATCGCTTCCGATATAGCCATCACAGATTGTCACAAAGACATATGGTACCAGTCGGATTTCGTTTTCGATGAGTCGGCGTTGGAATGCACGATTAATACGTGGCATATTTCTCAACTTTGCACTATTTCATAATTCTTGGCCTTTACCACACAACAGATTTTAGTGCTGAAATTAACAGGTATGATGTAAGTAAAGGATCGTCGCCCATGTGTACAGATGAGAGATAAGCCAGAATGCATTAACGGTGCATTCCAATACAACGAAAGAAGCAGTGCGAAGTGGGGCTACTGGAGGCGGAGAGTCAACATCAGCCAGCAATCCAAATGGCTATATTTATCGCGAATTAACAAAATTTACTAATGGATAAAAATGGGTAGTTCCCTCAAATCAATCTAAGCACTCACGATGACTCCAATTGGTGTGTGTGCCTGTATGAGTGAAATAAAGAGCTGAAGTTGCGGTGCTGGCACATTACTTAATCGAACAACTCTATAAGATTTGAAGTAGCTCAAGTGAAAGGAAATGGATCCGTCTAACTAGAGTAAGTAAAGGACTGTATGGAAATGACAATAATGAACTGACCGATCATAAAGAGATAATTTCATCTCATTGTCAACAATAGTGCTATTAGTTTTATACACCAATACTCGTTGTGTCTGAGCAGCTACGGCATAACTATAACGAGAATAACTTCTGCAGAGCAAAAACCGACTAGCCGCTGTCAGAATATGATTTTTTTCTTTCTGAACATTGAATTGAGACCTGGGTACATTTGAAAATACCCAGACATTGAAAATTAAAGATCAATGCCTTCCTTGTCGAGATTAAAGACACATGGTACGCTCATACACATTGAGGGTGTATGAGACTATCAGCCCCCCAGATGTCGATGTGTCGTGGTCCCCTCGCCCAAACATGCCCAGGAATGGAGATACAGGGCCGTGAAACACGCTATTTCCTCCATGCTCCGCCCACTGCCTTTTTACGGCGCAGATTCCCGCCGTTCATAACATCCGTCGTAAGCGCGCCTGTCGCGTGCGGCTCCTTGGCACTTTGCCAAGTCCTTTAATTGCGCTCTCAAACACAAGGAAAACGCAATTTCCTGATGCGGATAACATTGGAGGTGCTACAAAATAAGAACAGAAGATGATGACGAGGGTCAGAACTCAAGAGCAACTCGGCTGCATCTGCAGTATCCATCAGAGGCCGCGCATTCCCACAAAAGAGGTAAATAAGAACAGCCCAAGCGTCCCACTCGTCTGTTCTAAGTATTTGTATGGCTTTGGCGCCGGATCGTAGAAATTTATCCGGCAGTTTATCTAATTTGCTTTCCTTGATTTTTTCATTTTTGTTTTGTTTACATTTACATCGTTGTGCTTCATTTCTAACCTGTGTCATCTTCATCTTCTTGTACATGGATTTTGAAGTATGAGCAACACCTAAAATTTTATTCGCACAGAAATTGCGTCTTGCTTGTATTAAACTAACGAGTATGCCATATTAAAGGATTCTGAGCTTCATTGTATTGTAAGTCTTCTTTTGGGTTGATGGAATGAAACTCTTCTAAGTCTTTTATTCTCGGCGACGTTTCGGCGCTTAAGCCTTCTTCAGGCTACAAATATCATATATGTACAAAGCCTACACCAACAATCCTACTATTACACATACATCGCAAGATATTCGAAGAGGGAAAGCAATCAATTAATCAACAACTGACCACTTCCTACAGGGGTACGGCCTGGGTTTGAGTGGGTCCGGGATGGAGTGGTCGGGGAGTTTGCTGCAAGATGGTATAATGATGGACGAGAAAAGGGAGTACGCGACATTGACTCACCTCCCCAGCTGTCTTTTTCCTATAGAAATGAGACAGCCAGAAAGGCGAAGCAGTGGAAGATGGTGTTACACTGATATTTGTCGTATGTCACGTATCACCAGTGATGTCACATCATGGTGCAGCAATGAGCTCCATTGTCCTTCTTAACTCCTCCCTGTGTGTTGAGCGGTGGGTTCCTTCTTCGAATTTCCAACGCTCCTTTATTTTCCTCTCCACCGGGTCACATATGTTCTGTGGATTACGCGCACCCTGAGTTCAGGGGCACGTTCGTTCGTGTGTCGCGAGGAACGGTGTCTCGAGAAGGATTGTCCGGATAGCTGGCTGGGTTCCGGAAAACCTTAGATGTTCATCAAGCCTCTTGTGGAGTGGTCGTCCAGTTTCGCCAATGTAGAATTCCGAGCATGACGCGCACACTCCACTTCGTACACGGTATTCATTAAGAGGCAGATCTTCCGTTCATCCTAACAGTACTCACAGTTTTCGCGGCCACATTGGTCTTCGTATATTCGTGACGACGTGAGGAGACGACGTAATGTTGGCGGTGGTCGAAATATCAGGCGGATTGGCATCCCCGACCTCTTTATGACTCGATTTACATCCTTTGCAAAAAGAGTCTGAGAGGTAAGGAATTATGAGTGGGACGCCTCCTGGTGCCTGATACGGGCGCCAGCAATTTACGCGTCTGCTTCCATAGCCGTTTTCTTGAAGTACACGCGTCACTGTATCCATCATACAGGAACATTTGTGGACGTCAACCTTCGAGCTGTTGTCAAGGCGTTCTGAACTATATTCCTCTTCATGAAAAGAGGTGGCCAGCTTCTCGAGTGGATCAGGATGTTCTTCGAAGCAGGCTTCTTATGCCACATGGAAAATACATTTCCTTCGACAGTTTCACTTTAGTGTTCAAGAAGGCAGGGATCCGTCGTGTTCAGGCTCCTCGACAGTCAGTGCAATGGTTGGGTGCACTGAGTTCAGCTTCAAGAAGGTTCGACGTAATGCTGTCTGGACTTCGCTACGACAAATATGTCGTCTATGTAACGACCGTAGAACAGCAATCCCGATGACAGCGAACGCCTTTCCAAACGATCCATGAATAGGATTGCAAGAAGCGGTGCAATTCGACTGCCCATGGCTAGTCCACGCGTTTGCATATAAATGTTGTTGCGGAAACGGAACATGTTGAATTGCACAACATTTAATTAGCAGCTCTTCGACGTCGTTGATGGACAGTCCGTAAAGTTGACAACTGTTCTGATGTTGTCGCAATAGACTTATGCACGCTTCCACGGCAATCCTTGTGTCTACGTTTGTATATAACGCAGACACATCGAAGCTTTGATACGACGTTCGGCATCGATAGGAAGGGACGTTGCTCGCAAGTTATTCAGGAAGTGGTTCGCGTTCTTCAGATGGGCTGGCACGTGGTTGAGTAATGGTGACAGCATGTGCTGCAAGAACCAACTGATAGCATCTGTTGGACCTCCGCATGAGGAAACAATCGGTCGCGTCTTGATCCTATCGCGTGTGGACCATGACTCTTTCTTCAGAAGCCTCCAGTTTGTGCGTTTTCACTAGCTGGTAGTACGTGGGTATACACGTGTGCTTAGGAAGAAGTCGAGCCAGAGTCTTCATTTCCAGATTTGGGCCAAGACCTTCTTTATTACCTCCTCAAGTTTGGAGCACTCTTGTCTGTAGCGGTTCCTCGTAGTCATGTTATACGTTGAAACGTCGGATAAGACCGCTTCAGATAGCGCTATGTCTCGTTCACCGTGACATTGCAACAAATCCTCCACATTTATCGCCAACCGGAGAACGTAAGGAACGTTTCAGCGATACTGCTTTCTGTAAACCACGCCGTTCAGAAGGAGTCATGTTGTCAGGGGCTCTGAGTGTTCTATGATGGTCGAACACTCTGAGAACGTTGGTTTGCAGTTCGCTCAGCTTCGATAGAAATGTTGGATTGTGTGAAGGAGCGCAAACGTGATTATGCGGGAAGGCATGGCTTTTCTCAAAGTTTCTTGCGCGTGGGTGCGTTGGTCCTATCTGTTCTTTCCAGCTATGAGAATAGCCAAATTTATGAATTGCCGTCATAATTTCTATCCTTGTGTCATCTGAGAATCTTGGCCTCGGTGCAAAAGCTAGGGCCAAGATTGAGTAGGTTCAAGACATCCTCGTCCACCTCGTCTCCATCTAGAACCACACATCGCCTTGGCGGTTTTGAATTTCTGATAATGAAACTGGAAGCGGTTCTAGGAGATTGAAGGTTTGCGAACTTGTTCGCTAGTCGGGAGCGAATTTCGGAACGGAGCATGTCGCATTTTTCTCGATGACAGGCCATCAGTTGACTCCAACAATCAAACTCAATCTTTGCAGAAGAGCCGTTTTAGATGAACGATTTTTCGTATGCAAGTACTTCGCTTCCGTTTTTGCTGTGCAATCGTAGCATCTAGAAGGCATCTTGGAGGTGTTTTATGGTGTTTCGCACATCATCTTGACGGTAATGGTAAAAACGGCGGACCATATTCCAAATAAAATTGGGAATGCATCTGTATCGTTTGCACTTCGAGAGGAAAACTAACGATTCGTCCAGGGAAGGGTTAGTTGGTGGGTTGCAACATAATCTAACATCAAAAGGAAAGTGTCCCTACATAGATGGATTGCCTTTGTAGGTGTTTTAAATCATGCAATATTAAAGGATTCCTGAGCTTCATTGTATTGTAAGTCTTCTTTTGGGTTGATGGAATGAAACTCTTCTAAGTATTTTATTTCTCGGCGACGTTTCGGGCCTTAAGCCCTTCTTCAGGCTACAAATATCATATATGTACAAAGCCTACACCAACAATCCTACTATTACACATACATCGCAAGATATTCGAAGAGGGAAAGCAATCAAATTAATCAACTACTGACCACTTCCTACAGGGTACGGCCTGGGTTGGAGTGGTCCGGGATGGAGTGGTCGGGAGGTTTGCTGCAAGATGGTATAATGATGGACGAGACAAGGAGTACGCGACATTGACTCACCTCCCCAGCTGTCTTTTCCTATAGAAATGAGACAGCCAGAAAGGCGAAGCAGTGGGAAGATGGTGATACACTGATATTTGTCGTATGTCACGTATCACCAGTGATGTCACATCATGGTGCAGCAATGAGCTCAATGTCCTTCTTAACTCCTCCCTGTTGTTGAGCGGTGGGTTCCTTCTTCAAATTTCCAACGCCTCCTTTATTTTCCTCTCCACCGGGTCACATATGTTCCTGTGGATTACGCGCACCCTGAGTTCAGGGCACGTTCGTTCGTGTGTCGCGAGGAACGGTGTCTCAGAAGGGATTGTCGGATAGCTGGCTGGGTTCCGGAAAGCCCTTAGATGTCATCAAGCCTCTTGTGGAGTGGTCGTCCAGTTTCGCCAATGTAGATTCGAGCATGACGCACACTCCACTTCGTACACGGTATTCATTAAGAGGCAGATCTTCCGTTCATCCTAACAGTACTCACAGTTTTCGCGGCCACATTGGTCTTCGTATATTCGTGACGAGAGTGAGGAGACGACGTAATGTTGGCGGTGGTCGAAATATCAGGCGGATTGGCATCCCCGACCTCTTTATGACTCGATTTACATCCTTTTGCAAAAGAGTCTGAGAGGTAAGGAATTATGAGTGGGACGCCTCCTGGTGCCTGATATGGGCGCCAGCAATTTACGCGTCTGCTTCCATAGCCGTTTTCTTGAAGTACACGCGTCACTGTATCCATCACTATCCTGTCTTACATATTAT